TGCTTGCTGGCACCAACAAAAGACATACTTTTGGAAAAGCAGAGACATTCAGCTTTCATCACTACCAGACGAGGAGATCCGGAAAACAAGCTTGCCTAAAGACATTTTAAATGCTTTCCTGATGGCTTCAAGCTTAAAACCACCACCACAAATCCATCATATTTGTCCAGAGGGAGAAAGATCAGAGGGAGAGACTGATTAAAGATATACCTGCATCCTAAAAAAAAAAAATCTTTGAATAGCTTGAAAGATAAAAAAAAGCAAAGTGAACTCTACACTCCAACATTACTCTTATTTCAAAGTTTTATGGTAACAAAGCCAAAAATGTAAATTGAAATTAATTTTCCCTAAGTGTGCTCAACAGTAATTTTGACAGGAAACTTTGATGTGATATTTTTAACAGTTGGTGACTGAAGATGAAGAGAAAACAAACAGCACACTTCAGGAATAGTTCTAACATATCAGGCATTCCTCCATGCATTATTTCAATTAATCTTTTGAGGATCCCAAAACCTAAAAGTCTCTTTCTAATTCAGGAATGTGATTAAGACCTGTACCTTCCATTAACAGGAAATGAAGCAGAGAGAGCCTTGATATTTCAAACTCCACTGTGATGTAAGACGTAGTCATCAGATTCCTAAAGTGATTAAGGTATGAGACCAATGTTTATGCCTAAGAAAGCAAAAGCAAAAAAAAAGATTCAAACGCAGCTTGAATGCTTTCATGTTTAAGAAAAAATGTAACTGCAGAGATCTATCCGTGTTAGCACCTAATTGTTCTATAGGATTATCTACCTCCAGAAGCCCCGAACCTGTTTGTTCTTTCCCAAATGCATCACCAGTTGTTCAGTCAGCCAGGATGAACACCTGCCCTCTTCAGTCACCCTGCTTTCATTAGTCAGGATTAAGTTCAACTGCACATAGCCGTGGACAACAAGAGCAAAAACAGACAATTAGACAAAGCCAATGGCTTACACAAGATGGAAAGTAATTGTATTCCCACAAAAAGAAGCCCCGATGTAGTCATCGGGTGAACAGCAGTTCACAGTGTCAGGCTCTTTCCCTCTTGATGATGTGCCCTTCTCAACAAGTGCCCCCCACCTCAAGGTCCAAGATGGCTGCCTGAGCTCCTGCTGTCACATGCCCATAATAGCCAGTAGGAAAGAGGGGAAGCAGGGCTCAATCCTTTTCATAACACTTTCTAGGAGTTGCACACAATGCTTCCTTCATCACATTAGTCTAAATTTAGTGATATATTCACATCGAGCTACAAAAAGAACTTGAAAATGCAATCTTTTCATTGAGCAATATTTCCAACTTAAAACCAGGGTTCTAGTATACAAAGGAAGAAGAAAACATTTGCCACAATTAGCACACACCCTCCAAGGCACTTCACTCTTACTCCACACATCCATGGCCTCTCAGCTCTTCATCCTTATGTAGCTGAGTCAGGCCAATCAGTGTGGCTGTAATTTACCTTATCATCATCTTCGCTTGAGCTATGACATCCGATCTGAGCTCCTTGAGCCAGGTGGAAATTAGCTATTCCATTTGGACACAGAAACTAAAGAACACCACCAACTGGCATAAGCGTGGAGTCATCTGAGTGGGAGGCACCACGGCTTTTCCTTCAGGCTCATACATGCCATCCTGGCAAGGAGGACCTCTCCGCTCTTCCACGGAAATGTACTAAGGCCCCTTAGGGGAAGAGAGAGTGACTGCAATCTGGTATCTGCACGTCTGTGGGGAATCTTGCTGAGGTCTAGTGGTCAGAGGTGAGGGTCTGCACAGGACAGGAAATCAAGTCTGCATGTCAGGAAATACTTCTCAGTTGGCAGAATGTTGGGCCAGAATTAAAAAAAAATTGTCAACCCAGAATTCTATACTCAACACAAGTATTTCCCGCAAAGGAAGGTAAAATAAATACTTTTCCAGACAGATAAAAGCTAACAGAATTCACTGAAAGCAGACTTGCGCTGTGTGAATTTTTTAATTGAAATATATGTGACACATACTATTGTGTAAATTTAAGGTGCACAACATGTTAATTAGATATTCACATACTGTAATATGATTGCCACTGTAGCAGTAACGAGCACCTCTATCGCGTTACATAATTACCATTTCTTTTTAGTGGTTGGAATAACTAAGTTTCAGTCTCTTAGTAAGTTTGATGATTATAATACAACATCATTCATATTCACTGTACTGTGCATTAAAACTCTAGGACTCATTAATCACCCATTGCCAAGTTTACCCCCTTAAAAATCTGTCCTACTGGTCCAACATCCATCCTCTGGTAACCATCATTTTAGTCTTTGTTTTTACAAGTTTAATTTTTTAGATTCTTTGTATAAGTGATATCATGTAATATTTATCTTTCTCTGCCTGACTTCTCTCACAAGAAATACTAAATAAAGTCCTTCCAGCAAAAGGAAAACCTCAAATGGAAATTTGGAACTACAAAAAGGAGTAAAAGTTAACAAAGAGGACTACAATGGAAGATACAAGGCTAAATGTTAAGGACAATTTTTTCTCATTTTTGGTCTTTTTAAAGATTAATTGGAAGTGATGGCAGCAAGATGGCAGAATAGGAATCTTTTTACAATCTATTAGAATATCAACCATCATGTTGTATATTTAAATGTATTACAGTTTTATCAGTTATACCTCAATAAGGCTGGAAAAAAATTAACTGGCTGTTTAAAGCAAACTTAATAATAAAGTATACGGGCTTATAACATGTAAAAATAAAATACGTAACAAAAATAGCACAAGATAAGGGTGTAGAATGGAAGTATATTTTTCTAAGGTTCTTGGGTGAAATGGTATATTACTTAAAGGCAAATTAATAGTTTAACATTTATTGTAAACCCTAAAGTAACTACTTAAAAATAAAGCAGAAGGTATAGCTAATAAGTCAATGATGGAGATAAAAATGGAATCACAAAAAATACTCAATCGGAAAGAAAGCAGGAAAATATGAAGAAAGAGGACAAAGACAGAGGAGACACACAGAAAACAAAGAGCAAGATGGCAGATTCACACTTGACCATATTGACAATAAACGTAAACTGTCTAAACACAATAATTAAAAAGCAGAGATTATCATAAGGATAAAAGAAAAAAAGCAAAACTATGATATGCCATCGTCAAGAATTAGTCGGTCAATGACAATGATTCATGACCCCAAGGTCTACAAAAATATAGAATATCTTCTTCCCTATACCTGGGAAATTACTGGATAGCACAGGAAGGAAGGCTCAGAAAAGTCCTCACTTCGTATCGGGTCAGGAAATTTTACATCAATAAAAAATTTCCCTGCCAGAGAGTGAACAAATGCAGAAAGTCAGAATTATGAATTCTGCCTTCCTGGTAGCCCTAACTTAGAAATGTGCTGAGAAGACATAAGCTTTGTGTGAATTTAAGCCTCCCAGCCACACAGATATTAAGTGACCTACACTGACTCACTGAGGCTTCTGCAAAATTAAGTCCCCAACACCAATTAATTCTACAACAGTCATTGGGCAATGAGAAAAAAAAACTGGGTGCTGCATCGAGTCAAGGACTGCATCACTCGCAGGAGCTAATAGATGTGTTGGCCACATCCTGGCAAGTCAAGAGTGTCAAACATGCACTTTTTAGCCTGCTAAGCAAGTGAAATAGGTAACCAGGCAATGGCCCAGCATTTTCCTCCTCTGTCAAATAAGAAGCAAGATAAACATTTCACTCAGTCTCTTTCATAAATAGCAAGCCTCTGCAGTCATATGGGTAGTTTCCCTGATAAACATCACAAGGTGTCAAAAAATTATTTTAACTGAAGTATGGTTAGTTTACAATGTTGTATCAATTTCTGGTGTACAGCATGTCAGTCATACATACACATATTCCTTTTCATTATGTTACTATAAGATATTGAATAGTTCTCTGTGCTATACAGTAAAAAACTGTTGTTTATTTTATATATAGTAGCTAGTATCTGCAAATCTCGAACTCCCAATTTATCCCCTCCCAACCCTTTTCTCCCACTGGTAACCGTAAGTTTGTTATCTGTGTCTATGAGTCTGTTTCTGTTTTGGAAATAAGTTTGTGTCTTTTTTTTTTTTTTTAGATTCCACATATAAGTGGTGTCATGTGATATTTTTCTCTCTCTTTCTGGCTTACTTCACTTAGAATGACAACCTGCAGGTCCATTCACATTGCAGCAAATGGCAATATTTTAGGCCTTTTTATGGCCGAGTAGTATTCCTTTGTATACATAAACAACAATTTTTTTATCCAGTCATCTGTGGATGGACATTTAGGTTGTTTCCATGTCTTGGCTATTGTAAATAGTGCTACTATGAACACTGGGGTGCATACGTCTCTTTGAATTTGAGTTCCCTCCAGATATATGCCCAGGAGTGAGATTGTTGGATCATATGATAAGTCTATTTTTAGTTTTTTAAGGAATCTCCATACTGTTTTCCACAGTGGCTGCACCAAACTGCATTCCCACCAGCAGTGTAGGAGGGTTCCCTTGTCTCCACACCCTCTCCAGCATTTGTCATTTGTGGACTTTTGAATGATGGCCATCTGACTGGTGTGAGGTGGTAACTCATTGTAGTTTTGATCTGTATTTCTCCAATAATTAGCAATATTGAGTATTTTTCATGTACCTATTGGCCATTTGTACATCTTCACTGGAGAAATGCTTGTTTATGTCTTCTGCACATTTTTGGATTAGGCTGTTTTTCTGTTATTAAGTTGTATGAGCTGTTTGTATATTCTGGAGTCACGTCATTTGCAAATATTTCTTTCCATTTCGTAGGTGGTCTTTTTGTTTTGTTTATAGTTTGTTTGTTTATAGTTTCCTTTGCTATGCAAAAGCTTATAAGTTTAATTAGGTCCCATTTGTTTACTTTTGTTTTTATTTCTATTGTGTGGGTAGACTGCCCTAGGAGAACATTGCTAAGATTTATGTCAGAGAATGTTTTGCCTATATTTTCTTCTAAGAGGTTTATAGTGTTTAAGTTTTGTCTTATATTTAAGTCTTTACTTCAATAAAAAAATACATATATATGAAAAAAATTTTCTTGAGGCAAGGCAGTTAGGACTACTGGATCGGCATCTGACACTAGCAGACCCATTTCAAAATTTTATGTAGCCTCTTAACATGGGTTGTGTTTGTGAGTGACTTTTTCTGAGGAGCAGTATAAATGCCTGTATTAGTTTTCTGTGGCTACTGTAACAGATTACCACAAACTCAGTGGCAAAAAACAACACAGATTGATGACCTTACAGTTGTTAATCAGAAGTCTGACACAGCCTAACACTGGGCTAAGATCAAGGTGTCAGCAGGATGCATCTTTTCTGGGGGCTCTGTGGAAGAATTTGTTTCTTTGTAGACATCATCTGCTTTCCTTGACTCATGGCCCCTCCCTCCATCCTCAAAGCTAGCAACAGCAGGCCTAGTCCTTCTCACACTGCTATCTCTCTGGGTCTCTCTTCCAATTCCCTCTTCCACCTCTAGGGACCCCTGTGATCACACTAAGATCACCAAATTAATCCAGGATAATCTCCATATTTTAAGGTCAGCTGAATAGCAATCTTAATTCCCCTTCGCCATGTTACCTAACATATTCAGAGGTTGCAAGGATTAGAGCGTGAACATGGTGGGGACCGGGAGCTGGAGGGAGGTTGGGGATGGAGACATTATTCTGCCTACCACAGTGCCACGAGCAGCTTTCCATAGGGGTTTCTCCACTGATTTCCATGGATAAAGCCAATACTGTTTAAAGGAGGGAAACAGCACAGACTGGAGGAAATACAAGTAGCCATTGTGGTTCCGAGTCTATGCTTCTGCAGATCTTCAGGAAGCGGTGTGGACAAGGCTACCAAGGACGAATCGACAGTACTGCAGAATGGATTGAGTCAGAAGAAACATTAGTGCCACCAAGAAGCACAAAGAGACCAAAAAAAAAAAAAAAAAGTAGGGGGAGAGTCAAGGTTTGAGTCCAAGATTTGGTGCTAGCTACAAGGTCTCACTTACGCAAATCACTTAACTTCTATGCCCCACTTCCTCATCCATAAAGTGAAAAAGTTGATCTAAATTAATCCTCCAAGGTCTCTTCCAAGCCAGAACACTGTGATGTAATGCAATAGAGGAGAAAGGGAAAAAAGAGACCAGAAGATTATTCTCCTTAAATTTAAAACCAGGGCTTAGCATTTCATCTTCCCATGGGGATGGAGAATAGAAAAGTAGACTTTTTTATTTGAAGGCCAAATAAATAACACCTTGAAACATCTAAGTGTGTGGAAAAATCTGACTCCATAGCATCATTTATTACTTAAATTTCCAACCCAATCCATGTAAGTTAAAAGAGCCAACTGATGACATATTCTGATGATTCTAATAATTCAAATATATAAAATGATAATATTATACTATTAGGAAAAGAGAGAAAGCTTTAGAAGGTTAACCAGTCTTTTGTGTTGGGGAGAAAGGACTAAGAAATGTGGAGGAACCAGTTCCTAAGAAGCAGGAAGTGTTATTCAGGATGAATAATTTATGAGTTATGAAATTGGCAATCAACAGATTATTAAACACCTAGGACACAACCTTAAAAATTCAATCAAATGCCCACTCTACATGATTTCAGAATACTAACTTTTTTTTAAGTATTGAAATATATTATGTAGTTAATCCCTATCACAAAAGAATACTGTCCACGATATGGAATGTTTATTGACAGTAGCAATTCTCAGCTATTCAACTTAACTAAATCCCCAGAAACAGTACCTAGACTTTTTTCCAGGAAGAACTAATTATAATCATTAGCATCCTACGCAAATGCACCAGAAGAACACAGAAAAGTATAAAGAATTACAGACTACCTAAAAGTAAAGGGATAGCTCCTCTAAAATAATCATCTGGACATCCACTTTTTGGCCTCAATTAACACTTACATAAATATTAGTAAGGCAGGCTTTGAGAATTCAGAAATAAATTTATCTGGGTAATTTACACAGCAAGGAAGTGAGTTTTTTGTAACTAATTGCTTTTCGAAATGGTGACTGTACAAAAGAAAACTATACGGAGCCAGCACTTTTAAGGACATAGTAGCTGGAGTCAGGAATAGAGTATTTACAGAGGGATCATGAAATAAAGGTTGTGATTTCAGTAACAAATGTTTGGAAACCTGAGCTCTAGTCCCCATAATCTCCAAAGGCCTAGGTTTGCTCGCCTCTACAATCACAAATCTTCTAATATTTGAGAGGATGACAGCTAGTTATTTTTCATACTTACTGACGACAAATATTACCAGGTGTATACTATCAAATAAAAGCCTTATGATGGATAAGGGAATAAATTTGCTAGAAAGTATTGTTAAATGCTGCAACATGCCATCAGAAAGGCCTGTAAATTACCTTTTCATTTAATAATAAGGTTTATTTTTAGAGCAGTTTTAGGGTCAAAGGAAAACTGAGTGCAAAGTATAGAGAGCTCCCATCCATCCCCTGCCCCATCCGCACAGCCTCCCCTACTATCAATATCTGGCACCAGAGTGGGACAGTTATCACAATCCATAAACCTGCAGGGACACATCATCGTCATCTGAAGTCCACAGTTTACATTTAGGGTTCACTCTTGGTGTTAACATTCCTTGGGCTTTGACAAATGTTCTACCATTACAGAATAGTGTCACTGCCCTGAAAGGCATCTGACTTTGCCTGTTCACCTCTCCCTCCCCACCAGCCCCTGGCAACTACTGATCTTTCTACTCAAATGACTTTTTTTTTTTTTTTTAAGGCCAAAGGCTTACTTAGGACAATGCAGCCTAGAGTTGGGAAGACTTGTTTTACGGCCTTTCGACATCCTAAGCTGTCTTTGCCCACTGTCACACAACATCACAGAGCACCTGAGCTATGTCACTGTTAGGCAGTACAGAGTAAGGAAACTGGCAAGAAGATGAAGATATTGCACTCCAGAAATGTAAAATTAATAACTACTGATATATTCATTACAGCAATATTCTGATACTGTACTCAGCTAAACTTCAAAGAATTTTAGAGACTGTGATGCAATGTGACTCTGAAAGCCAGCAAGCAGTATTTTTGACCCTACCATTTTTTCCAAATAGTCTTTAATATTTACAGTGTTATATTCAATTAGCTTTATTCTTCAACAGATGCTCAAGGTATGGCTAAAATCAAAGAAGCTGGTGTGTCCTGCTCCTGATGCTAACAAGGCGGCTTCATCATGTCCTACCAGCTTCTGCTTCCCAGCTCTCTGTCAAAGGAAAATTAAGTTCATTGTATTGTTCATTCTGTAGGTCAGAAATCCAGCTTTTATTATTTTTTTTAATAGCAGTGGTCAAAATGCTGGAAATTAACAAGCTGTCAAAAAGCAGCACCTGGCAATTTACATTTATTCGATGTATTTCACAGTTAAGAAAAACCATGGTGACCAGTCCTCAGAGCTCTCTCTTCCGTGACTCAAGCCTGGCTTATGGCTGTTTTGCAAGCCCTAACCCTAGCCTCAGAACCACAGTCAGGCAGGTACAAAGACCCGAGCTGCACTGGTTCACTGGGTGAGGCCATGTCACGGAAAGCATGTCTCCACTTGCCAAAACAGCTCATTTCTAGTCAGGATGGGGTAGAGCTGATGAATGAGAAGACAGAAAAGTCTCCTACATGTCTCCAACTACAATGTACTGTCAGGAGACCAGTTTTCAGATAAAAAAATATGTTACCTTGGATTTTCAAGCCATTTTCTGTGTATCATGGCTGAGACTACTTCCATTTACCATATAACCTAAGGCCAGTACACTTTGCTATGAATGCTTATTCAAGGTGAGCGGCAAAAGATCCTTTTAAACATCAAATCTCCCCTAGCAGAGGGGGAACAGTGACTAGAAGGGGCAGGGGGCACAAGTGTGGCTTCTGGATGCTAGTAATGTACTGTCTCTCGATTTGAATGCTCATTACACAATGTGTGCAGGTGCGTACTTTTCAGTATTCATGCAATACTTTGATAACAAGCTCACGCCTAAACAAAAATCAAACATTCATCCATAGGATAAAAGAGTAATGACTATGAATAGGCAAATCACAGAAACTCCAAAGGGCAATAAACTTTGAAAAGAAGCCGCAGCTCTCTCAAACTGCGGAACCCTTTCTCTATGCCCTCAGAAACATGTCTTATCATCCCCAATTACTCAACTTTTTCTCAGACCTTCCTGCTTGGGACACAACCCTGGCTGCGCATACAATCACCTGGGAGTTAAAAAGAAATTACCTAAGCCTGAGCTCCACCCCAGACTATCTGAGTCAGAATTTCCGGGGGCTGGGACCCAGGGAATGGTATGTTTACAAGCCCTCCCTGGTGATTTAAATGTGCAGCCAGGGTTAAAAGCCATTGCCAACTGAAACCTGGCTCTTCCTGCATCCCTCTTTATTCTCACATTCCTCTTCCCATTAGGCTGGAGGTAAGATGTTCTTATTTCTCGTTGCCACTTCCAAACTACTGTCTCAACTCCTCCCTAAAATTCTAGCTTTCAGTCTCACATTATCAGACCATACCATCCCTAATTCTCCTGTTGCAATCATCAACATGACACCGCCAACCTCACTCCTTAAAGATTTTAGCTCCTGGCTGTGATAGCCTTCCTAACACTGTTCTCATCAAAAATGCACGATAAATTAAGAAATCAAAAAACACCTTGAGACAAAAGAAAATGGAAAAACAATATACCAAAACTTAGAGGATGCAGCAAAAGCAGTTCTAAGAGAGAAGTTCATCATAGAGATAAATGCCTACCTTAAGAAACAAGAAAAATCTCAAATGACCAGCCTAACATTACACCTCAAGGAACTAGAAAAAGAAAAACAAACGAAGCCCAAAGCCCAGAGTTTATAAAGGAAATACAAGATCTGAGCAGAAATAAATGAAAAAGAGACTAAAAAGACAAAGGGAATGCAGTTTGGTGCACCCATTGTGGCAAACAATATGGAGATTCCTCAAAAGACTAAAAATAGACTTACCATATGACCCACTCCTGGGCATATATCCAAAAGGAACCCTAATTCATAAAGACACCTGCACCCCAGTGATCACAGCAGCACTATTCACAAAGCCAAGATATGGAAACAACCTAAATGTCCATTGACAGATGACTGCATAAAGAAGTGGTGGTATATTTATACAATGGAATACTATTCAGCCATAAAAAATGACAATATAATGCCATTTGCAGCAACATGGATGTCCTTGGAGAATGTCATTCTAAGTGAAGTAAGCCAGAAAAAAAAAGAAAAAGACCGTATGATATCACTTACATGTGGAATCTAATTTAAAAAAAAAAAAAGACAAATGAACGTAAATATAAAACAGAAACAGACTCACAGACATAGAATACAAACTTGTAGTTGCCAGGGGAAGAGGGGTGGGAAGGGATAGACTGGGAGTTCAAGATTTGTAAATACTGACA